TTATTAGAAAAGTTTTTAATAAGAAGCTACATGTTCTTTATTATCATAAATAAAAAAAATTACTCTGTCAAATAAAACCAAAAATTCAAAATTATCATTAAATTACCCATACATTCTGAAATACTTGAAAATTATCATTTTATTCAACAATTTGTTATGCATCACTATTTGAGTCTTCTATATCCATCGTCTCAATATTACGAGTTTTAAAAATTCTTTGTAAAGGATCTATAAATGGATCGAATGAAGTGGAATTAATTGTATTGATGTATTGTTCCGCTTCCTTCAATGTTTTTGGAGAGAATAAGGACTTTTCAAGCAAACTTCCTTCGAATGAAATCTGACTCTCCAAATCCTCATCCGGACTACTCCAATATATTCTATCAAAAGTGACTTTTCGAAGCCTTTTAGACACTTTGGCATGATTCATAAGAACCCTCAAATGATCATCTTTTAATCCAGATGATTGATGTAATCCCAATTCTTCAAAGACATAATTACTACGTTGCAAAAATATGTCAAGTTGTTGAGGTGTAACTTCAAAATCTACATCAAGCCTTGTTAATGAAAGAGGAAATTGGTCACCAATCTCATAAAGCATTGAACCGAGCGATTGATTTGGACGGTCCTTGAAATTAAGGATTTTTGAATGATGAGTACCCAATACTAAAGTTTTCAAATGTGATAACGAAAGCCAATCCATTAATGCAAAAAATGTGGTATCAGAATATAGAGTTAATGCCAAATAGTTAATGTTACCGCAATAATGAGATATTGCTTTAATAATCGTCTCTGTATTATTATTAACTATGATTAACTCTTCGAGGTTGATAGTCATCCTAATAAGTGATGTAAGAGCTTCTGGCGAAATTTTATTTTTGTATAAGTACATTTTTTTGACACTATGAAAGAATAGTCCACTACTATCTACAAATGTAGGTGTGTCATCATCTCGTACTGTACCATTCTTGTTTTTGTTCTTTCCAGTTTGTTTAATGTCCATACATCGAACAAAACTCAATGTCAACAATTGAGTGCAACGCGTTAATGGTTGAAGTTGTTGTGGTGACAATGGAATCCCAGACAAATTAAATGATACTAGTGTATTAGCAGCATGTTCTCCTATGGAAACCATAAGGTTAAACCAAAGATCAGAGCGTCGAATGGTGAAATGTTTAAGTTTTTGTTGTACATTCACCAGCTTTGACATGATTTTTTTATCATTTTTATCATTTTTATCATTTTTATCGATATCTGTGTAATATTGGTATTTAACATCCAAATACTCTACTTTATGACAAAGCTCTACCATTTTATTGAAAATTTTTAACGCAGTGTCTAGCCGATCCTCAGAAATCAATTTGCTTGTGAAATTTGTGTGAACTCTAAGCCAAGTTATATCAGTAAATGCTCTTTTCATTGCTTCAGCAGATTTCACTATATCAGCAGGGATTCCAATGCTTAGGTGATTAAAGGACATGTCTAACATATCTAAACCTTGAGTCGAGTTAAAAAGTAGTTTAATTATATGAGAAATCATTAAAGTCATCATTTTCATGATTGGTTTCGTAGCTTCATCTTTTTCAGCCGCTTTAGCATTAAAGTTTCCCTTAAATAGGTCGCGATATTTTTCATCGATGTTTTCCGTATGAAGAAGCCAACTAAAAATCGCGTCATGTAATTCGGATAGATTGAATTTCTTTATATAAAGAGAATAATCATCCATAGGATTGTGCAGCTTAGAAAGAGTAATCTTTGCATTCTTTAACGCTTTCCTTTGTTCTGCGTTAAGAAAGTCTGTATAAACATTGATAACCGGATAACCCCATGACAATGGATCTTCCCACAAAATTTTTACACCGATTTCGAACCATTCTCGACAGACTTGAAGGCATACCCAGAGATCTTGATCCATTAGATTCCTGAAAATCTCTCTTATAGTTTCCCTGGATAATTTGGGAACCGGATTCTTACAGTCGTTACATTTGTTACTCTTTGTCCTAACCATTTCTGCTAAAGCGGGGTATAAAACCATTGATACTTTGAGAGTCACGAGAGGTGCATTGGGTAAGGATATTTTATTGGTTGATCGACAAAAATGATCTAATGATCCCGCGTTACAGTTTGTGAAACCCTTATTTGGAATGATTATTAAATCTTGAAATCTTAACGTTAAAGATCGAATAAAGCAACCAAAATGTTGAAATTTTTTTCGAGTTAAAATGATGTTTCAATTTTATTAGTAAAACAACCGTCAAACTTTTGATTTTTATTCGAGAGTTGCGTCTAATCGGTAATTTCTGTATATCATTGGGGAATCATCGGTCGGTCGGGTGACTAAAATGTAGTCATTTTTACGTAGTGCGTTCGTTCATGGCATTTTTCAGAAAAGCGATTCCGATATAATTACACGATTAATAAATAATTTTTTCTTTATACATTTTACACTACTTTTAAAAGCTCGAATAGTTCAATTTTCTATGAAACGAGAATAAATTTAACGGATGCCCTATAATATTTTTTGAATCCCTATGCAATCTCCATAGAAACAGATAGATAATCATTGAACTATGCAGCCAATCAACAGGCGTAATTCACATATTATTTCTCTTATAGTTTAATTTTGAAGTAAATTAAGTCGTGTTTTAAAAGACTAAAACTATTCACCCGGCTCATAATGAAAATTTTACAAGTATAGAAACTTTATTAGAAAAGTTTTTAATAAGAAGCTACATGTTCTTTATTATCATAAATAAAAAAAATTACTCTGTCAAATAAAA